TTTACTGTTGAACAAGATGGTGAAATAAGGCCACCAAATGAAGGCTTCTGCTTGATGATGATGATGTTATGTACTTTTTTTTTATTTTAATTTAAGAATGATGTGTAAATTTAGTGAAAGATAACCAGAGAGCACATCAGGTTATTTCTTTTGATTTTCTCTTCGAATTATTTGAGTGCAGGCTGAGAAGATAGCGTCAAGAATGATTTATGAGGATCGGATGAGGGGATCTATTGATCAGGTACAACTAACCATTGTTATCTCTTTTTTCTTGTAAATAAATTCTGGATGAGGAGAAGTTATTGTAAGTAGAAGAATGAAAGAAACAAGAGCAGTGGAAAGGTAACCTGAGTTACCAAAGTCAAAGTAGCAGGTGTTGCTCATCAATTCAATTCGGCGATCTCTTTGTCGATGTCCAACAATGAAGCCCAAATAGCATTTCACTGAGAAGCATAAGGAGGCTATAAGAACATCTAATCGCACAGATGTGGCAGCACTACAAATTACCCTTGAAAATGACAGTTTTCATCACTGTCAATGAGTATAAAGCACAAATAACATTGCCTACATCAAGGAGTGCCGAGAGCCTTTGACGTGGCATGAGTTATGGCTCCGTTTTAGGAAATCCAGCATTCAGCAAAAATATTTTAGAGCACAAGAATGATTTAGCAGTTGAGCAGCAAAGTACAAATTGGTTTAAAATTATGATCCGAAGAAATAGAAAAATAATAAGGAAAATCTTGGAATGGGTTCTTGTGGTAAATGAGAAGGGGGCTTGTGACGGTGTTTGGGGAAGTTAGTGGGGGCTCAAGACAATGGGAAATACTGTAGAACCTCGGGTCTTATATTTTGCTGCAAAAGATCAAAATTAAGATGCATGCTGGGGTGCACTCTTGCCTATCGTTTGGGCGGAAGTTACCTACCTGTGCTGGATTCACCCATTTCTATCAAGTTTTCATTGTTTTTAGGCCATAATATTGGATTTTTTGGTGCACCTTTTAAATTTCTTAAGAGAGCGGTTGGTTGAGCCAATATAGAAATAATACCTTTACGTTGAACAAATGAGATATATAAATATTTGTTATATCTCTGTATTCATTATTATTAGTAACTAGTAATTTTATTTTTTTAATCCACAAGCACGAAAGACTGGTATTATTTCAAAAATCAATTATTTTCATTCTCTTCATTATATTCTATTTTGGGTACTGAACGGCTCCTTTTGTTATTGTCTTTAAAATATCCGTTACCATCTGAATGGCTCATTTCAGGTTGAAGCTGTTATACATTTTGATGATGATACTGAAGAGTTACAAAGATGGGACCAGCAGGTAATTTTCTGGATTAAAAATCTGATATTGCATCCTCATGTTTGTGCAGCTGCATAAAATTTATAGGGTTTGAATATGGAGTTCTCTGTAGTGACAATTGTTTGTTGATTCGCCTATTCATTTAATCCTGTTGAATAATGTTTCCCAAAATAATAAGGAATCAAGTTGGAACTCTAGTAATTTCTATGTGGCCAATTCACGGGTGAAGAGGCAAACTTCTGATTGTATTTCTCCACAATTAACAGTCAATTCTGAATAAAAATGGACACGACCACGGATAATATGGAGTCTATCTCTTTAAGATATAAATTGAGAGAATCTATCTCCAAAATCCGCTTCTCCATAGCCTCAGTCTCATCTTTCAGCTATGCGATTTTTGTCCTTGCAGATTGTAGGCCTATGTCAATCGCTTAATGATGTTTTGGATAGCATGGCCAAGAAGGGCTTTCCAGTACCTGTTTGAAGGGATCATAGATATTTTCTTGTTTATTCATTCTTCCAAAAGCCTCTGATTTTTTGTTTTCCAGAATATTTTTTTGATGTGAAAATGACTATATCAATCTGTGATAACATTAATTTTCTCATATATTAGATAGCTGATTTAGTATCAACCGAGTTTGCCGAGGCTATATTTAGTTTACTGCATTGTTTAATGAGTTTGGAAATATCTGCGGCATTATCATCGTTCTCCTTGGTCTTTTCATTATGTTTTTGGGTTTATTCCAAGTTGGGGTATTATAATTATTGATAAAATAATACAATGTTTTGGGCATTTTGTTAACTTCATTGCTTTATTTTTATTTTTTTTGGGTGAAATGTCGCTTAATTATTTGTTGCTTAGACCAAAGATGGGAAGAACTTAACGAGAATCTGTCAGATAAGTTAAAAACAACAAAGCCGCGGGACATATCTGTGATGACTAGGGGTGTTCAATTTGTCTCATTCTAATTCCGATGAGTTCGGGACGGAGCGGGACACTAACCGGGAAGGAAGATGGGGGACGGGGTCGTCCCGTCCTATCTCGGGGTTTTTTTAAAAAAAAATTATTTATTAGTAATTATTATTAAATTATTCAATTTATTTATTAATAATAATTCTTATTTTTTATAATGATTTGTAGCTCTTAAGTTGTATTATCTCAATAAAATCATAAAGTTATTATATAGTGTTTTTTTATGGTTTTTTTTATGGTATTGTTTTTTCACTTTTTTTATGCTATATAATTGAACTTTCTACATAATAATTTTTTTTATAATGTTTTTATTTTTAGAAACCCAATAAAAAATAAGTATTATAACATAAAAAAAATTTTATATAAAAAATTATAGTATTTTTTTTTTTAAAAAAAAAAGGGAAGCGGGACGTTCCGGTCCTGTTCTGGTTTCATCCTGGTCCTGACGAGATCGAGACAGAACCCAGTTGGGACGGGATACAGGACAAAATTCCTATCTCGTCTCTGTTCACCAAGATGGGAGCAGGACAAGTCCCGTCCTGTGAACACCCCTATAACACTCCTATTATTGATGATTATTAAAACTTTCAATTTCATCACTAGCACTATGTTTGGCTGAATTGAGGGTGGGGAAAGGATTTTAAGGAAAAAGATCAACTTTGAAAAGTAGATATTAGACTTACAGAATTTACCTAGGTTTTTCTCTACTCAAAATTGTTAAAGTCCATTCCTGAAACTATTGAATGTATCTTTTTGACTACGCTCCAAGAAAATTAAATATAGAAAGCCATCGGTAAACTCGTATATAACTATCAAACTAACATGTTTACAAGTTAGATTTAACAATTTATATTTGCAAGTCAAATTGCATCATTTATAAGTTAAACTTGTAAAAAAATTGAATTTTTTCAGATTTTTCTGTATTTAATTTTTTTGCGTGAGACTTTTAGATCATTTTTCTTTTAAAATATTAATTTCAATTAAGTTAAATAAGTGAATCTAAATTTAAAAACAAATTAAAGATTAGTGAGAATAACAAGTGAAAAAACCACATAATTTGATCGGAAAATAGTGCAATTGAGAATATTCTTATTAGCTATTGTTCTCTCTTGCTTGCTCATTTATCTTGCTCAGACGATGGTGTTTTTCTTCTTTCTATATGCTGAGGCCATCTCTGATTTTGTTGCCATTTTCATTTCTCTTATTCCTGTTTGAACTGAGTCTTTTAAAGGAGTGGATTAATAGATTATAATTTGGTAGGGGTCATTTTGATTTTGCTAAAGTAATGGACGGACACAAGATCCATGCTTCCAAATTACAATCCTTGATACAGGTTTCCAAGAATTCCATAGCTCCCTTTTATTTTATTTTCAGTATGGAGGGGATTTAAATTGTAAGCTTTTACGGGGTTCACGGATGTGACAAGGCTATTCACTATTCTAATTTCATAGAAGCCAAATGTCTCTCTGTTTACTCTCTATACTCACTTTTCAGCTTGCGCTTGCTGCTTCAATATTACAATGTGGAGATAGCTTATGGTATCGATAAACGGATTAGAATTTTCATGATACGATGACAACAGTCATTTAAATTGCTATGGTTTACGTGTTCAAGTTTTCGCCAGAATTGGGTCTCAAATTTATCAATCTTAATATTTTTCAACCGCTTGATGATTTAGACCTGAAATTGTCACTTGCTTTTTGAACAAGTAGGAGGAATGTGTCTTTCTTGTATAGATTTTGGACATGTTTCAATGACTTTCTACGTCATGGTTTTTGTTTTTTTGTTTTGGTTTTTTGGTTTTTTTGTTTTTGTTGCATGTCCCATAGTCTAGATGCACGTCTCAAATTTCCGTGGATTCTTCTATAAGAAAACCAGCCAAAAGATTCGATAATGTTAATGAGGGGCCACTATGATGAGGGTGATACTGTTGTGATGGCAAAAATTGGACAACCACCTATAATTACTTTTTTTTTTAATGGCTAAATATGGGTATCCTCCTATTAAAAGTAAGTATGTTCAAGGCACTGTCAAGAACTAAATATGGATACTTTTCTCAGTAAAAATTCAAATCTTGATTCATCATATTGTAAAAAACTAACTCCTGCTAAATTTAACTCTTATTGGTCTCATAATTAGTTTTTATGTCATTGGTTTTTGTTTTTCTTATATCCTAGAATCTTAGATTCCACGCTAACATCATGATCCATTATCCAGTATAACTCTGGTGGAATTTTTGAGCATTGCAAACGCTGCTCTCTCAAAGAAACTCCCAGAGTCAAATATCCCATTTCTTTCAAAACCAATTTGATTGAATAGACGCCTGTCTCCTCTTTCAAAAAGTAAAGTTAGTGACATAAGCTTTTCCATCTTGTTAGTCGTTTATTCCATTACGTGGCGCCATGGCATGAGGACTTTTCATTGGAAGCACCTCTTATGTTATATTGATCGAGCTTCACCTGTGTTTACGGCTCGACGTTTTCATTAAGAATGGGTCCTGTAATCATTAGCTCTAGGCTTTTATATTCCATACTAGTGAACTTCATTATAAGTCTCCATCTAACGCATATTGATGTTGAATATGTACTGCTAGCAAATACGTCACCGTCTTGATGTACTTATCCATTTTTCAATATAATTGATCATTTTATCAGCACAAAAAAAAAATCAGAAACAAATTTAATTTAAAAAAAAAAACACGAAATGGCTCAAAATTTCATAACCGAGGCATAGCTGAGATAATGCCCCAATATCTAGAGCACGTCACATATCTCATTCTTAATTTAATACCACATATATCCAGTCCATGAACAAACAGACTAGTAACCTATCTATATTGGCGGTGTATGATAACAAAGATTCACATTCAAGTCACAAGGTTAAAATAATTCATCAAGAATTGAATTGCTGGGGCCAATAACAGAATTTGTGAGGTCAAAAATTCACTGGACATTTTGGGGAAATCAAAGTGCCAGCACCTAAAGAATAACAGTTGTTACATTCATTGCTGGGCACCTGACGAGCACAAATATCGCAGCATGTATTCATTGGAGGAACATGTATCAGCTAGGTCTTGATACAGTCTAGTTATTGCTTTTTGCAGAGATTTTAACGATGGAAGCAGATTTCTACAGTTCTGTTGTATATGATTCCCATGAGCCTTGCAGAGCTCCTGCCAAACCAGAAAAATTCAATATTTAAAATCATTCGGAGGAGAAAAAGAAACAGCAGCATGTGCGTTAATGCAGGAAGTTGGCTGTTGGATAAAATTAGATCTATAGACTCATTGTTAATAACAGCTACGTAAAAAGTTTAAGGAAACAGCAATTATGCCCAAAGATTAAAGTTACGATCAAATTTTGAAGACCATTATAAACCATATTTTGCACGGAGCCTTTTTTTTTGGGGGGGGGGGGGAACACAAGGAGTACATCTTGAAGAGACCACAGTTTAGAAAATGATACATGCCTTTCAAATAGAGTAGTATGATTCTATGATGATTCAAGCATAAAAAAATATGAGGACTTGTAAATGTAACGTGACTTGCAATAGGTTTTATATGGTATATTAATTTTTTTTCTTTTTTCCTTTTTTTTTTTTTTGGGGGTTGAAAACCCTATTGGATCTATATTCCAAATGTTTATATATAATGTAAAATATCAATAAATATATAAAAAGCCACACTATTTTATAGGCAATGAACAATGTGACCTACAATCCAGCAGTTACCAAAGTTACTTCTTAGTGCAAGTCTCTCGTGTTGCAAGTAGTCTAAAGAATAAGTTGTACTTAGTGGGGCTTATTTTGTAGTTTCTATATAAAAATATAATTTAGCTTTACTAAAACCAGATAGAAGATTTCTCACAAGTAAAAACCTTACATCATGTCTCTAAAATTTGATGGTAACTAATCTGTAGGGTAATTACAATATTGAATAATTTCTTTTTACCATGTTTGGGTCCTTGAATATAAGCAGATAAATACCTGACACCATCTGAGTATAAACTCCAAATGTGGGCAGTTTTCTAGAAGATCTGCAAGTGCATCAATTAATCTCTTCAGATACGTACGAGGGATTGATGAAGCAACTGCTGGAATATCGGCCGGACTAACAGCATAAATACATTTTTTAATGATAGAGTCCTCATTTAACCGAAGGCTAAGAATCAAAGCTCTAGTATGTTGATTTTCCATTAGAGCACAATCGACAGCCTGTAAATAAGTGTGAGCTGAAGTTACTAATGAACATCAAACGAGGAACTGTTGCAGCAGGTAAGATTACTACTCCCCGCAATCCCTTATTATAAGAAACAATCACAAAGCTCAAAATGTTGGTTAAATTTAATTAAACGCAATAAATGTGTAAAATACATAGATATATATTTTTCTAATTATACCCGTGTTTGTAAAGAGAATACATGAGAGATAATGAGTGAAACTCTATTGCAAAGAGATAATAACTGGCATATATTTAATAGGAGTAAAAGTGGAAAGATCAGTTTAAAGTTTTACACAAAAAGGATTTGTTTCTCATATTTAGTGACACCACTATGAGAAAGATTGTTTTTTATAAAAAAAAAGGCAGAGGAAGCAGTTTCAGCAAGATCAAACAATATAGTAAGTTCCAATTTCCTTTTCTGGTAGAAATATCCTTTTTGTTTATTATAGTAAAACTACTTTTTTCAAGAACAACAAAACTGCTTCTATAAAAACATTAAACAAATTTTTACTGGGACCATGTTGGTTTCGCATGTGTCAGTATGTCAGTTTCATGTTTGTATAAGAAGTGGTTGATCTGTACTCAAATGAGGATGTGTTGTCAGCTCAAAATATTTTCTGAAGTAATTTTGTACAGAAAATATTATCCACTCCAATCTCATTTCTGTAAAATAAGCAAGTGCATTACTCCTCTAGTCCTATTTATAGGACAGAGAGAAAAGACATTTTTTTAGTCATATTTATAGAGTATTGAGAAATTTTTTGCATAGATGTATAATTTTACCCTTCATTTATTATTATGTTGACTTTGTTTACATCAAATATAATGTATATTAAAGTTGAAAAATGTTGAGTTTTAAATGAGTTAATGAAGCTTAAGGTTTTCTTTGATCTGTGTAGAACATGTTGGAAATAACTTATAAATAGGACCAGAGAAGCAAGTATCTACACTTGGTATGATGGGAAAAATTGTAAAGTTTGAAGTATTACCTCTGGTGTAACATCTATGTCAAGGTCAGTTGGATCGAAGATGAAAGATTCATCAACTGAGTAAACTAGAACTCCCTCAGTAGTTGCAGCTGCAAAAGTCCGACCTGTAGGCGCAATTTTTAGGCATTTTGTTCGAGCAACAGGCCTTCCACGATTAGGCAAGGAACCTGGTAAATCATCCATTTTTCCACGAGTTTGTACATCAACACCTTCTTCGACATCACTGTTATCATCATCAATCAAATCCAGTGGGCCATATTCTGTCATATTCTTTGAGTTTAACTTATCAAGGACTCCGTCTAATGAGAGATTGAGAGTTATCTGAAATCGCCTGAGTAGTACCTGAGCAGAAGAGATTCCCATTAATGAACAGAACTGTTCAGCAGACAAAACGCATAGACAAAGACTAAGTTGTTAAAATTAAACCAACATCTGCAATCAACAGCCCATAGCTAATAATACAGTCAGACAAACAGAAAAAGTGCTAAACAAGAGATGCAGACAACAAAATCACGTTCTTAGACAACATGCAGAGAGCCAGGATAGTATAGAAAAAGTATATAGAATCTCCCGACAGGAAATAATTTGAAAATCAAGAGAAAAAAGTTGACTCATTGTAACAGTTGTGTCCTATTGATTAAAAAAACCACTAATGGCTTTAATTTTTTTTTTTTGAAAGGAAAAAAAAACTGCTTCTGAAGTAATTCTGAACTCCCCTCTCCCCGTTTACTTTGTGTTTGTTTAAATTCTGAGTATTTCACTCCATATTATTATTTCATAACAGATCATTACAATATATAGGGTCCGGACGGTGATAATAATCCGGTTAGAATCATTCAGCAATAACTACAATTAATGACAGCATACAATCAGGGATATTATTCTCATGCATAATGATAGGAGAGAATCATGGGCTTTCTAACACTCCCCCTCAAGCTGGAGAGTAGATGTCAACCATTCCCAGCTTGCTTCGAAGCCCTTCAAACTTGACTCTGGCTAAAGGTTTGGTCATGATGTCAGCAATCTGATCAATCGAACGCACATAGCTTAAGTTGATGATACCACCTTCTACCTTTTCTTTGATAAAATGCCGATCAATATCGACATGTTTTGTTCGGTCATGATACACTGGATTCTTTGTCATTTCAATACTGGCTTGGTTGTCACACCAGAGGTTCACTGGCCCTTCATAGGGAATTCTCAATTCCTTCAGGAGTCTAATCACCCACATTCCTTCACACACCCCTAGAGCTACAGCTCTTAGTTCAGCTTCAGCACTGCTTCTTGAGACTACGGTCTGTTTCTTGCTTTGCCAAGTCACAAGGTTTCCCCAAACATAGGTGCAGTAACCTGTGACAGATCTCCTATTATCTACAGCTCTCCCATGGTCTGCATCAGTATAGACTTCTATGTTTCTTGTATTCCCCCTTTTAAAGAATATTCCCCTTCCAGGATTGAGTTTGAGGTAGGAAAGGATTCTGTACACAGCCTCCATATGTTCTTCCTGAGGTTGGTGCATAAATTGGCTTACCACCCCAACTGCATAACTGATGTCAGGTCGTGTATGGGTCAAGTAAATCAGTTTACCCACAAGTTTTCTGTATCTTTCTGAGTTAACTGGTACCCCTTCTGGTTTAACCTCCAGATTGCATGACTCTTCCATAGGTGTTCCATTCGGCTTAGCCCCAAGTATCCCTGTTTCATGGAGTAAATCAAGTGTGTATTTCCGTTGTGACACACTTATACCCTTTTTGGACCTAGCAACCTCCATTCCGAGAAAGTACCTCATTTGACCTAGGTCCTTCACTTGGAATTCTCTAGCCAGAGCTTTCTTGAGTTGAGATCGAAACTTCATCATCACCAGTTATGACTATATCATCCACATACACAATTAGGATCGTTACCTTTCCATCATTGTGTTTGACAAAAAGAGTGTGATCAGCTTGTCCTTGGTTGTAACCAAACCTTTTGATTTCTTTGGCAAACCTGTCAAACCATGCCCGTGGAGACTGTTTCAGGCCATATAATGACTTCTTCAGTTTGCAAACTGAATTAGGTGGAGCTATTACTCCATCTGGAACTTCCATGTATACTTCCTCCTCTAAGTCTCCATTTAGGAAAGCATTCTTTACATCCAGCTGATGTAGGGACCAGTCAAGATTAGCAACTAGAGATAAGAGTACTTGGATGGTATTGAACTTTGTCACGGGAGCAAACGTTTTTTGATAATCAATCCCATAAATTTGAGTGTACCCTTTTGCAACTAATCTCCCTTTGTACTTGTTGATGCTTCCGTCAGGGTTGAATTTCGGTGTGAAGATCCACCTGCAACCTACTGCTTTCTTGTCCTTAGGAAGTGTGGTTATATCCCACGTTTTATTCTCCTTCAGGGCTTTCAACTCTTCATATGCTGCATGTTTCTAGTTAGGATCTTTCATGGCCTGTTGAAATATTTCTGGAATTTTCACCTGTGAGCTATTCACCACAAAGGTTTGCATTCTAGCAGATAAATTGCCATAAGAGACAAATTGTTGTATAGGATGCTGAGTACAAGACCTTACCCCCTTTCTAAGTGCAATAGGCCATCCTAGTTCTTCAGGATCCAACTCCGGATTGGAATCATGTTGCTGCCTTGGAATGGAAGGAACCCCACTACTACTGTCTTGTTCACTTGAGTGAGATCTTGAGTGCTCTGTCACCCCTGCATCAATTTCAGCATTCGTTTCCATTGTGTGAGTATTGTTTGTGGGGGTTTTGGGCTGTTCTGGTTGAGCTGTAGGTTTAGGGGTTTCCGGTTCAGGTTCAGGGATTTCTTTGTGCGATGTATAGAGTTCTGGAGGATTAGGAGGTGCGTTGGTCTCAGGTTCAGGGGTAATTAGCCATTCTACTCCACAATTCTCCCCCTGAATGGGTAATTTGGGATAGTATGCATCATCTTCATAGAAAACTGTGTCTTTAGAAATTATGAGTTTTCTGGTAGTGGGACAGTAACACTTATAGCCTTTGTGGGTTGAAGAATACCCAAGAAAAAGACATTTTTCGGCTCTAGCACCTAGTTTTCCCCCATCATGTTTATGGACAAAGACAACACACCCAAAGACCTTTTGTGGGATGGTATTGATGATAGGTGAGACGGGATAGGTCTCAAGGAGTTTTTGAATAGGGGTTTGGAAGTTGAGAACTTTGGAGGCCATTCGGTTAATAAGATAGGCTGCAGTTAGTACTGCATCTCCATTGTGTGAGTATTGTTTGTGGGGGTTTTGGGCTGTTCTGGTTGAGCTGTAGGTTTAGGGGTTTCCGGTTCAGGTTCAGGGATTTCTTCGTGCGATGTATAGAGTTCTGGAGGATTAGGAGGTGCGTTGGTCTCAGGTTTAGGGGTAATTAGCCATTCTACTCCACAATTCTCCCCCTGAATGGGTAATTTGGGATAGTATGCATCATCTTCATAGAAAACTGTGTCTTTAGAGATTATGAGTTTTCTGGTAGTGGGACAGTAACACTTATAGCCTTTGTGGGTTGAAGAATACCCAAGAAAAAGACATTTTTCGGCTCTAGCACCTAGTTTTCCCCCATCATGTTTATGGACAAAGACAACACACCCAAAGACCTTTTGTGGGATGGTATTGATGATAGGTGAGACGGGATAGGTCTCAAGGAGTTTTTGAATAGGGGTTTGGAAGTTGAGAACTTTGGAGGCCATTCGGTTAATAAGATAGGCTGCAGTTAGTACTGCATCTCCCCAAAACAGGTTTGGAACATTTCTTTCCATCATAATGGCTCGGGTTACTTCCAAAAGGTGCCTATTTTTCCGCTCGGCAACGCCATTTTGTTGTGGGGTATAGACACACGAGGTTTAGTGATGGATTCCCTGTTGCTCAAGAAATTCCCTAAAGGCTCCACTCACATACTCTTTGGCATTGTCACTCCTCAATACTTTGATGGGAGTTTGGAATTGGGTTTTCACAAAGGAGTAAAAGTTTTTAAAAATTTGTAAGGCTTCGGATTTCTCTTTCATAAGGTAAACCCATGTAACCCGTGTATGATCATCGATGAATGTGATAAACCACCTTGTGCCTGTTCGGGTTTTGGTTCTGGCAGGTCCCCAAATATCGGTGTGGATCAATGTAAAAGGGTTAGTGGGTTTGTAAATATGCTTGGGAAAAGATGTGCGAGTTTGTTTGGCAATTTGACAAGTTTCACATTGGAAAGGAGAAGAATTTTTATTGAATAATGTTGGAAACACATGCTTCATATAATCAAAACTGGGGTGGCCTAATCTTTGATGCCACAACATTACATTTTTATTTCGAGAATTGGAGCTAACCATAGCCTTCCTTGCTCCTTTTGTCTTCATGTCCTTTCCTTCAAAGTAGTAGAGTCCATCCCATTCCTTAGCAGTCAAAATCTTCCTCCCCGAGATCGAATCCTGAAAAACACAATTAATATCATCAAAGATCACCCGACATACTTGTCCTTTAGTCAGTTTGCTTACAGATATAAGATTGCAAGTGAGAGCAGGAACAAACAAAACATTATGAATTTCCAAATCATCAGAGAGGGCCACAGTGCCAACACCCTCAACTTTAGTATATAGTCCAGTTGCCACTTTTACTCGAAGGTTCTCATGGCAATATTTGAGAGTTTTGAAGAGGGATTTATTACCAGTCATGTGGTCTGTAGCACCAGAGTCGACAATCCATGTCTCATCACTAGTGACCATTGCATTAAGAGCAATAATAGAATTACCTGACTGAATCAAGGTCACGTTGGGAACCTTTTTTCATGAGTTTTGCCTTTCGAGCATCTTTCGGAGCAGTTGAAGTTCTTCTTTGGTTAAGCGATCTCCATCATCGCCTCTTTCCTCGGAGGAGGTGTGGTGGCTTTTTCCATCTCGACGCTGTTGCTGTTTCCCATGGGTTGGCTTTCCATGTAGTTTCCAGCATTCATCTCTGGTGTGGCCTTTCTTGTTACAGTGATTGCACCACTTGTTCCCTTTTCTTTCAGAGCTCTCTGATGTCTGGGGTCCCCTTGTGACTAAAGCTGAGCCATCAACTGGAGTTTGGTTACCCTGGGTGAGGTGTCTCCGACTTTCTTCGAACTTAACCATGCTGAAGACTTCAAATAGGGATGGAAGGGGCTTTAGACCCATAATTCTGCCTCTTACTTCTTCAAAAGCATCATTCAGGCCCAACAGAAAATCATATGTTCGTCCCTTTTCAACTAGTTGTCTGTAGTAATTGGCATCATCAATATTCTTCCAAGGATGTACTTCAAAGAGATCCAATTGCTGCCATATCTTTGTCAGAGTACTGTAGTACTGTGTTACATCAAGTTTCCTTGCTTCAGTTCTTTGAGTTGCCTCCTTAAGTCCAACAAAGCAGCAGCGTTGTCTAATGTAGAGTAAGTGCGCTTAGCAGCATCCCAAATCTCCTTGGCTGTGCTTGCAAGAAGGTATCCCTCACTGATTTCGAAAGTCATTGAGTTACATAGCCAAGACATCACCTGATTATTTTCAGTGAACCAGGTGTCGAAATTGGGATCATTGTATGCCGGTTGTTTTGCTTCTCCATTGATATATTTCTCCTTACGCTTCCCACGTAGATACATCAATACACTCTGGGACCATTGGAGATAGTTGCTGCCATTTAGTTTGTGAGCCACCATCATAGGTTGCTGTTCAGTGACTGTTGTCAAATCTGGCATTGGATCAGAAGTTTTAGAGGGGGCTACTGGTGGAGTACCTTGAGTATTTGAGGATGTGCCAGACATAAAAGCCATTGGAATGGTGCCTTTTGTGACAGGCATATTGCGAACAGACCCAAAAAGTGGTGGAAAGTCTGATGGATTCATCTTCTGGACGAAGTACTGTACTGGGATGGATCTGGCGACGGCGCGTGGGCTTCACGCGCGGCGGCTTGTGACGGCGCGTGGGATTCACGCGCAAAGGCTTATGACGACGCGTGAGCTTCACGCGGTGCTCCGTTGGACACCGGCTTCTGGGGACGTGCTGATCGGAGGATTCCGGTGAGGATTGGAGGGGTGGTGTCGGTCACGTCCTTCTCTGGCCTTCAGATCTGAGGATGCCGGCGTTTCTCTCTCTCCCTCACTCTCTCTCCTCGCTCTCTCTATTTACGGTAGGGGTTTAGGACGGATCCAACCCCAACGCTCTGATACCATGTTTAAATTCTAAGTATTTCACTCCATATTATTATTTCATAACAGATCATTACAATATATAGGGTCCGGACGGTGATAATAATCCGGTTAGAATCATTCAGCAATAACTACAATTAATGACAGCATACAATCAGGGATATTATTCTCATGCATAATGATAGGAGAGAATCATGGGCTTTCTCACAGTGTTATAATAACATTATTTATTAGTTTTGCATCCAACGTAAACCAAACAAGAGATGGATTCAACAAACTTATCTGTTACAAAATGCATTGATAGGACATGTTATACCATAAAGAGGAACATCGAAATTCCAAATATCACTAAACACAGCCCATTCATACCCTTCCAAACTTATCAGCTAGGCCATACATGAGAAAACATGACATCATAATAAATTTATCCTCAAGCAGAAAACATAAACATCAGAAGATTTTAAAGATGCATAAGCTGTATAAATATTTGCAATAAGCAAGCAGTGCAAACTGTGATCCTGTACATACCCTAATCCATTTCCTTCTCTATTCATGCCATAGAACCTATCAATCAATTTTACTACTCAGATACAAATAGAGCCAAATCAAGCACCATATTTAGTTGTCATCAGAAGCCAATCAGTCAAGAGTCATTATAATATAAAAGAATATTTTTATGCTATCATGATTTTTACAGTATCCACAGATTATGTAGCCGCCCATATTTATTCCATTTTCATCACATCCTAGAAGTGAATGCTAAGAAATCACGGAGTGAAGAACACAAGAACATTGTTCAACTAAAAAAGCATGTTCTAAGGAATAAAATCTAAAATATTCAATTAAAACTATGTTGCAACTTTTAAGATGAAATTCAACATAATGGGTTATAGAACTGCAAAAAGCCAACCTGATCCGCAACATCATACATGCAGATATATCTACTGCTTCCACCAGCTAAAATGTAGTTTCCATCAGCGGAATAACATAAGGTTGAGAAGTAATTCCTAGAGGTTGAGTTAGCCCATGATCTCCGGTCAGTCATAAGTCGTCCTCCAGCAATATCTCTGCGGCCTTCTATGGTGTACATCAGCACACCATCTATTGGATCCCAAAAATGAATTTGCCCATCCATTGTGCTGCAAGCTAACTGCCTTCCATCTGGACGGTAAACTACTGTGAGGACATCATGTGTGTGAGGGAATGTTTCAACTGCTCCTTTTCCATTAAAGACATCCCACAACCGCACAGTTTTGTCCCATGATGATGATGCTAGGACTGCCTACAAAATTGAGAGGAAAAGAATTTGTTCAGCTTCTCCGTTGCATTTGTGGAAAACCACCAAATGACCAAAAATACAAACTTCAGAGCCCTCACTAAGTCTTGAAGAAAAACATTTCTGTGAGACAATATTGTCAATTAAGAAAATAAAACTATTATGCTGACGAATGGAGGGAAAGATTGTTGACTCACAGTTGTAGGAGAAAACATCAATCCATGAACAGGACCTTCATGACCACTAAGCACATCCAACAAACGGCCCGTTCTCATTGACCATACAAAAATCTGTTGAACATATCATAAAGCAAAAATATGGTGAAATAGGGGGAAAGTAGGATTGTCATAGTCCACCCAAATTTCACGAAAATCATACCTCAAAGGAATCCACCGTGCCAGCACATATCACTTCACCACTTTGATCTGCAGACAAAGAAACAAACTGTCTTGCAGAAGGACTAGTAAACGTCTTGAAATTTCTATAACGGATCAAATCCCAAGCACGAACAGTCCCATCCAGAGATGCACTGAGCAGGCAGTGGTTACTGGCCATGAAATGCAGAGCACTAACAGCATTAGTGTGCTCAGAAAATGTTACAAAGGCGAAGCCTGAGGAAACATTCCACACCTGTAATGAAGAAGCACTATACTTAACCTAGTATCAATTTTTAACCTTTAATTTCGGTCGTAAAAAAAAAATCAATTCTAAGCTTGCTGGCAAAATTGCATATTACTAAAGATGCAACCACCACACAAGGAAACTTTTTCAAATCACGATAGCATCACTAATATTAATTTACCTTCACTTTATTATCATCCGCTCCAGTAGCAAGGAGTTGTGAGTCTGGTGAATAAGCAAGACAATTCACATCAAAATAGTGACCTTGCTGCTTCAATATATAGCTCTCTGATCGCCATTCCCACACCAGCAACTGGCCCAGTTTTGCACAGCCAAAGGTCAACCAATTTCCAAGGTCATTAAACACAGCAGTTGTAATCTTCTCTCTTGATATTGACAAAAGATGAATGCATACAAAATCAGGCATCTGATATAAGCCAAACACACCATTTGAGAAACCCACAACAACCATGTCTAACTCTCTATGATAATCACATGCGGTTAGCTTTGCTGGTGCCCGCATAAAACAGTCCTTCCTCAAGAATTCCCACTTCCCTCTGCACAAGTATCCACCATCTTCAAGCATATCAGCATCCTTATCGCCATTGTTCTTTCTCTTCTTCACATTAACATCACCGTCCACCTCAATATTTCCTTCAACATCCCTTTCTGGTGTCGCAGGAGAGGGTGGCTCAGAATCGTCACTCGTAAGTGCCCAGCTAAAAATATACGAATCCCTTGTAACCGTATAAGCTTTACAAACTCTATTAGTTTTCTTTTCAAGACCAAAGAAAGCACCTACAACAGAATCCCTATGACGTAATAACTTAAAAGGCTCGTGCTTAACACCGCCACGCATCTTATTCAAGCATAACACTCTTGCAGTCAAATCCTTAGACCCAACAATCAAGTGATTCGAGTCTGGACTCCAATCCAAACAGATGATCTTATCATCGAAGCAGGCAAAAGTTCGAATCAACTCAAAAGGGAAATACTCCTTTCTAAAAGCAGGAGAGCGCCAAATCTGGACCAACTTGCCCGCTCCAACAGCAACGAGTGAACCTTCTGGGCTGAATTTAACAACATGGATGGGCTTCTTAAAGGTAATGCGATGGAGCACTACTTGCCGGCGAAGGTTGATGAAGTGACAGCGGCTCTTCTCGTCGACGGTAAGCAAGAAAGTGCCGTCCGGAGAGACGGCTATTCGGCAGATATTTGATGATGATTGGGTAGGTAGTGTTGTAGTTTGGGATTTGACGAGGTCAGTTATGGAAACTCGGTTACCGACAGGCGAAATCAGCAATGTGTTGTTGGCGATTACAGTGTTGCCGCCTCTGTAAGGAGCTCCAAGCAGGTTATGAAACCTGAAGTTCATTGCTTGGGCAGGAGGAGCTGAGAGAGGCCTCAAACCTGAAAATTTCGAGCGAAAATAGCACGACGGTTTCAGCCCAGCGGGGTTTAGGGTTTATGGACGGAAGGTCAGGGGTGTTTGGATACCTCTTAAAATCATGATTTTCTCCACAACCATGGTTACCATTCCAACACCTCATAAAATTCAATAATCCATTAAGAGAAGTTTAAGGGATAAAAGTATAATTTTACAAGTGTTTCTATAATATATAAAATAAACATGTGAAAAAATATAAAAATATATATATTAAAAAATATATATATATAAATTAAAAAAGCCATAGTCTTTAAAAAAGCCAAACTTTTCTACTTTTTGAGACAAATATCAAAATATATATAAATTAAAGTATATAGTACATTTTAATTATTAATTAATTATGTCACTTATAAATCAGTCTTGCATATGTATATTTATTATTTATATTTTTTTTTAGTTAAAAAAGTGATTTTAATAACAACCATCTAAATCATAGTTTTGTGTGAAAAACCATAGTGTTATCAAAATAATAAATCGATCATACATATGTATATTGATTTAGTATTTATATGTTAACTAAAAAAATCATATTTTAGTTAAAAATAAATAAAAATTATGGTTTTATTTATTTATGTCTGCACATAAAAAAATAATTCTGATAACAACCATTTAAATACTCAATTTTTTAAAGTCACTTTTTTTAACAAAATTTATTCCCTAAAATTACTTTTATCATTTTTTTCTAAAAACTATTTTTCAAAAATTAACAAAAACACCCTCAAAGTTGCAAAATGGTACAACCACCAGAAAAACGATTTTTTTTTAACCACCAAAACGATGGTTGAATAGGCTAAAATCATGTGGAAAACATAATGAATGGATTGATCAGTTAAAACTTAAAAATTAAAATCTATCATGATTAAATCAAAAATTCAAAAAAAATACTCAAAAACTGGGAAAAAGATATATAAGGAATCCCTATGATAATATCAAAATGCTATTTTAATATCACTTTATTCATGTAAAATCTTTAATTACTAAATTGCAATGAAGATATTTTTTTACTTGTCAGACTACTGCTGCTGCTGCTACTATTATTACTACTACCACTGCTGCTGTTGCCGCCGCCGCCGCCACTACCACTACGACTACTACTACTATTACAACTACTACCACCACTACTATCACTATCATCACCACTGCGACTACTACCACCACCACTACAACTATTACCACCACCACCACCACCACCACTACTACCATTACTACCACTACTACCACCACTATCACCACCACCATCACCACCACCACTACCATCACTACCACTATTACCGCTACCACCACCACTACTACCACCACCACCACCACTACCACTACTATCACCACGACCACCACTACGACCACTATCACTACTAAAACCACCACCACCATCACTACCATACTACTACTACCACTATCACTACCACCACTATTACTACCACTAGTACTGCTGCTGTTGCTACTACTGCTACTAAAGAAAATATTTTTTAAAATTAGTTGTTTTCTTCCTTTCATTTTTTTTTTCATATTTTAAGTTAAGGGCAATTAACTAATTTTGTTATAAAATTTAATCACAAATTAATCTCAAGAGACATCACAATGATTAAATCATTTGAAAATCTTAAATTAGAATTTATATATTTAGGATTTCATATCATCTAGTATCAGGATCAATATTATTTGTTATCTAAATTAGGCTAAATTCCATAATGACTATAAGCATTTCAAAATCTTAAGCTAGAATTTGCATATTTGGGTTCAATATTACTTGGTATCAAAGTGGCTATCATTTGTTATTAGAACTACATAATAGGGTAAAAATTGTGTAGATGTTTTGAGAAATTGTGTTTTACTTTTTTTTATGTATCATTGCACAATATGATTGCAAGTTATTACCCCTAAACCAACCCAAAATAATCTGAAGATGTTGTAATTAAATATTACATGTAACATAAGTTAATAATTAAGCTCTCCAACTCATCTAGTGTAAGATGTAAGATGAGGTGTAATATATTTTTGTCAGTTACAAAATTGCCAAATAAATTTTTCATTTTTTTATAAATAATTACTTTTACAAAAACCTTTATATATATATATATATATATATGTTTACAACCCATCAAAACTATGGAGCTAAATGAAAATGTGATATATGTAATACTCTCATAGTTGTCAGCAAAATGCATGTTGAAATTCAAGATTATGCTCTAAATCTATAAATGAATTCACAAAGACGACAAATTCTACAACGAACCAAACTGAAAATTTTGCCCTACAAGATTATTCTTCATTTTTTATTCAAGCAGTCACCAAAAAAGAATAAATTCAAAACTGAATTGCATGCATTACTTGGAAAGGAATTATCATGATCATCAAGTTACTACAGACTTTCTTCGGTTTATTGATTAAAGAAACATAAGAATCCTCTTATCTAGCAATGGATTGCTTCTATGTGAAATCAAAAGACAAAAAAACTCCAAAAAGAGTAGAATTATTATGAATATTGTATAAGTGGATGCCCGTAACCCCTAACCTTTAGAATTCTCATAGGATTTCTTACCTTCAAGTGTCATAAACTATATAACTTCCCTAACGAATGACTTGGGAGCAGTTTCCCATTGTTAATGTCATTATTATATTTCTTATTCTTTTGTAACCTTAGTACAGGACTTCAATGTTTGGAGGCTTATAAATAGAAGCCATACATAAGGCATTTGTACCATGAAACAAAGTGAATGAGAAAAAAACCATTGTCTTCTCCATCTCTTGTTTTTTTCCTACTCTCTAGTATTCTTATTTCTTGTAGTTTTACAACACGTTATCAGCACAATTTGGCTTTGAAAATTTGATGTATAAACTTTGTTAGATGATGTATTCTTCTCATCATCTAATTATCTTCTTACTCAATCATCATATATATATATATATATATTGACTACATATTAATTATATATTATCTCCTTTCTCAATTATCATGGTTTATATTATATAATGTTATTCTATTGTTCTTTTCTTTACATTTTAATTTTGTCATTACGTTATATATATTTTTTATTTTATTTTATTTTATTTTCTTTTTGTGTTTTATATTATGTTATAATTCTTTTTTTATTATTTTATTATGTTGTTCTGTTGTAAAATATTAAGTTATTTATTTTTTTATAATTGATGTAATTTATGTATCATCTCCATTTGATATCTATATTGTTTTATGTTATTTTATTTGTGTTGTACTAGCTCTCATACACACACACATATATATCATTATATTTGCTTATACTTATTTTGTTTATATATGTTGTCTATCTAATTTATTTATAATAATGCAAATAGTATTATATGTGATTATATAATGTAATTTATATAATTATAGGTCTATTTATTATTTATATTATAAATCTGTATTTATTCACTGTAGCATTATCTTCATTTTAAATTGTTATTATATATTAGTTAGTTTATTGTAATATTTATATATTTATTTATATTACTGTTTTTTCCCCTCCTTCTATATATATTTATATATATTGTCTCTATATTATGTATTGTAACTAATTATTTGTGTTGTTTATCTTTTTCATTTTCATATATGTTTATTTGTTATTATTTATTTATTTATGTTTATAATTTAAAAGGAATAATTTATTTGTGGGTGACTTTTGAATCAATATTTTATTTGTTATGTTTCAGTGTGCATCAATTTTATTATAATTCTAATTTTTATTATTATTATTTTAGTTTGATCCATAACTAATCTTACCAAACTCGAGTTTACGGTTCTTGACATCACGGGAAAAAATTATGTGTCTGATTCTCTCGTGTCAAAATGAAAGTAAAGCTTCAAAGAAAGGACACTAACAGTGGAAGTTCCCGCGTTTTGAACATCAGACTGGAGAAGACGAATTCTAGACGACACTCTTCCAGAGCTTTTGTACCTCGATTCTCTAAGGTGAAGTTCTTAGATTGTCCGTTATTAGTTGTCTCAAACTGTAATTAATATTTCTTTTTTGGTACAGGTTAAAGATGGACAATGGTGGTTGGTTCTTGGTAACACCTCTACGTCTGAGCTTTATGTTTTGAAAAGGGTTTCTTTTTCCGATCGCCTGGTCAGCTTCATGGAGTTACCGGAAACTCAGTTACTATTCATGTAAAAATGGTTTTCCCGTCCCATATGTGGTCCTTAATCCCTTTCAGCGTGGCTTATTTTATTTCTATTTTTAAGCAATGTCAAATTAAATTATGATGATTTTAAGCTCATCCAACATCATTTGAACTTAGATCTGAGGTTCTCACTTAAGTCCAAAGGGAATTCTCAGTTAAGGGTGGACTTTGCCTAGATCAATTTCGCAGTTTCTCGAGTTTTTTTGCAATCTCTTTTTAAATTGAATACTGCTAATTTATAAACAGTGCAGCTTTCTGTAAATTTTATATTAATATAAATTATGTAGACAAGGGGAGAAATTCCAGGCTACTGTTCAACAATTGGGCATTTTCATAGTACTTGTGATCTGTTTCCTGCGGTTGAACTTCTACTAGTTCCCAAACGTGGACCGGGATAATATTTTTAAGAAGCAATCAATCCTGTTGATAATTTTTCTTTGGTAAATAGCCTGTTTATAGGTTTAATTGGACTTTAATATTGTTTACTAAACTTTTGATATTCTGATGTGCTACTTCCTCTTCTTAATATAAGGCCTTATTTGATTTTTATTTTGGTTCCAAATATAAGATCTTAATCCACTTTGTTTTTTATATTTATGCATTTTTCCAAAGTAATCTTCTGACAATGATAGTCCTACCTAATATATTTGATTAGCAAGAATATTTTAGGAAAGACAACACATATTTATTATAAATAACTAATTTAACTTCTTTCCTTGATCTCCTCAAATTAGTCAACTAGCTCTTATAATTAGGATCGGAAGTAGTATTTTGATCTAGAGTATCACTGTATTTTTCTAACTTTTTTATTTATAGGGTATGAAACTGATTTTAGTATCAGATTGTCACATTGATTTCGAGCAAGAAGGCTCGATCGAAGAACTGCTAGGTGGTCAGCAATAGGAGCAGCTGAGCAGGATTTAAGTAATGGAATCGACATCGGTGAATGTGACGGCATAGAAGGTGTTCTCTTCAGAAGGAAATTATCTTTTGTGGTGTCTTTTTTTGCGTGTTATTTTTTTTTTTTTTGGTGGTGGTGGTGGGGTTTTAAGGTATAGAATTCAAGGTTTGTATAAATTTAGTACTACCGCCAGTTCTGTGCCTTATTTGAAATCAATGGATGGAGATTTCAACCAAAAGAAATAAAATAATCGGATGGAATGACAAAGAATTTAGCTAACAGTTTGATGCCCCAGGTGGTTTACAGAAAATTTCAAATTTTCTTGGCCGTATAATTTTATGATGAGGACGACTATGAGGGAATATTGCTATGAAAAATGAGAGAATGATTCACCCGCAAAAAATACTCTTGTGTATGAGCTAATTAGGGATTTGATTTTGATTTTAAATATAAGATTTTAAATTATTATTTTTCTCATATTTTTTGCATTTTTTTTCAAACTAATTTATTAACTCATAAGTTTGTATTTTTGGTCAAAAAAACTTATAAGTTTGTATATAATTTAGTAATACCTCCTGTCCTTAATATAAGATCTTGTTTCACTTTTATTTTGGTTTTAAATATAAGACCATAATCTATTTTGTCTCTCATAGCAAGGATATTTTAAGAAAGAACACATTTATTATAAATAACTAATGTAACTTATTTCTTTAATCTATTCAAATTAGTTAACTAGCTTTTATATTTAGGACCGGGAATGGTATTATATAATATTAGCGTTGGTCCTTAATACTCTTCTGGTCTTTAATATAGGACCCAATTCTTGAGTTGGTTTTGATCCTAAATATAAGACCCATTTCTCATATTTATCAATTTTTTCTAAATTACCCCTATGGATACTCCCTCAACCATAATCAAATAAAAAAGGGAGAGGAGTATTAAGAAAGATGATTATGGTGTTTTAGGAAAAATGTGTCACTTTTCTTACAATTAACTAACTTACCTAACTTCCTTAATCTAATCAAATTAGTTAAATGAATCTTATATTAAGGACCGGAGGAGTATAAGAGTTAGTTGATAATTTGAGTAAATTAAAAAAAATTAGTTAAGTTAGTTATTTGTAATGAATAGATGTGGTTCTTAAAATACCCTAGTTATGTATTGGCCGTAAGCCCATAACTAATATTTCGTAAAACTTTTAACACGTGTCTTGTAAAAACTGTCTGGAAAGTCAAGTTAACTTTTATACTACCTCCGATCCTTAATATAAGATCTTGTTTAACTTTTATTTTGATCCTAAATATAAGACCCCAATCTATTTTGTCTCTCATATTTACACATTTTTTTCAAAGATAGTCCTTCTAATAATAATAGTTTTAGCCAATACACTTGTTTAGTAAGGATATTTTAGGAAAGACAACAATAATTTATTACAAATAACTAATTTAACTTATTTCTTTAATCTTCTCAAACTAGTCAACTAGCTCTTATAATTAGGACCGAAGAGTATTAAGAATCAGAAGTAGCAGTATTTTAGAAAATTAGGTTAGATAATTTATTTATTTTTTTAATATATTTAAATTAGTTAAATAGTTTGTGTATCGAGGATCAATAATAAGAAACTACAATTTTACTACGAAAATAATTGAAAATTACATGCAGATCATTTGGTACTAGTTGATGTGGATCTTTCAGTTGTCTCATGTTCTCTTTTTCATAACCGTCTAAAATAACTTCCCCAGTGAATTCGATACGCATGATCATTCTACTGCCCAATGAAAACATCAGGAAAGGCGTATACACAAAGGTCTGAAGTAGGCGATGCTGCCTCTATTGGGGTGTTCATGATTAGTAGGCTTGTGGTGAAAGTCTGGGCTTGGGGTGCACAGTCGGTGGGGCTGACCCTCCATAGGCTTCATCCACGTTAAGTTTCTCAGGGTGAAGCCCTTCTGTAAGGTCCCAATTAAAGGCATGGACCAGTGTCGTAGTTACTAGTTGAACCATGCGAAGCCCCAGGCTCATACCAGCACAAATTCTACGTCCAGCATCACCTCAAAGTCATTGCCCCTTACATCCACGTCAGCTTTCTCGCCACCTGGTAGAAACCTGTCAGAATTGAACTCCAATGGGTTAGACCATTCCTTGGGGTCACGACCTATGGCCCAGACATTGACCAGTAGAGTGCTCCTTTGGGGATATGATAGCCGAAGATCCCACAGCTTTTTTCTGCTATTCGTGGAAGGGAAAGACGCGTTGGTGGGTGAAGATGGAAGGTTTTCTTCACCACGGCCTGCAAGCATGGGAGACTGGGGAAGTCTAGTTCAGTCACGACTCACGAGTCGACCTCGACCCACCACAGCATCCAGCTCTTGTTGGACTTGGGCCAGCATTCTTGGATGACGAATTAGTTCAGCTATTGCCCACTCTGTTGTACCTGATGACGTGTCAGTTCCCGCGGCAAACAAGGTCTACAAGAATGGACCCATGTCATTGACTCATGCTTCCCAAAAATTAATGTTTTGTTCTCTTCCTCGGGAAATTCTAGTTGCAAAGAGGAACACGTTGATCTCTTCCAATCCATGTTTAATTTGAATGATTTATATTTTAATTTTAAATAAAATTTATTAAACTTAAATATGACAGTATAAACAAGAAAATCAAGTTACTTATTTTCATTAGATCAACTATCCAATCATATATGGTCACGTATAATATTAAATATAAAAATTTGATAAAAGCATTATCCATATAATAATTGGTGAGTAAGGAAGAAGGCGTAGGTACCAAAAGAAGAGCCTTGATCTCGGTGTCAGTGAGTCTGGTTCCGTCATCATCCTGGACGTCTTTGAGGGACAACAGGGTACTCAACATGTCCTTGTGCTTCTCGCTCTTAGAAACCTTGTGCTCGTCAATGATGCTCGTAAGGAAGTCATCGAATCTTTTGTGCAGTTCCCTCATTTTAGCTTGCACTCCTTGCAGGTCAAGGAACTCCAAGGCCGGAATAAAATCGCCGATGTTGAAAACTCTGGCCAATGCTATCACTTCCACCACCATGCTCTCAAACTCATTTGCCCTGGGATTGTAACATCCTGAGTTTTATCGGGTTTTAATAGCCTCTTTTGGTTGATTTTGAAGATAGATTAGCAATTTAATCTTGATCTTGGTGTTTGGGTTGAATTTGAGGTATGTTGGAGGAATAGGTGAATGTACCCCTCTCAGGGTATGTTTGCCGCCGCGAAGTTGGCGCACCGGGAGTTTCAGAGGGGAGTGTCTTCTCGGGAAGGTTTGGCCGCGGCGAAGTCTTGGGGACGTCGCGGTGAAGTTGTTCAGTGAGTGAGGCTTCCCTTTCGGAAGGTTTCGCGGCGGCGAAGGTGAGGGTATGCCGCAGCGAAGTTTTTCTGGACGAGCGAGAGTTTCCTCCGGGAAGCTTTCGCCGCGGCGAAGTTGGGTTTTTAGGGAGTAATCCCTCTCGGGATTAGTTCGCCGCGGCGAAGATTGGGGTTCGCCACGGCGAAAGGTCGCGAATCTATATAGTCGCGGGAGGGTTCAGCGTGCGAAAATAAGAAAATCTGAAGGAGGAGAGAGGAGCTCTGCTAGGGTTTTGAACTTTTGTGCTTGGAGGGGGCATTTCTAAGGATCCATTACCTCAAGTAGTGATTTTAACCTCTAATCTTCTTTTCTTTCTTGGAATTTTGGAATTTCTGAGGATTTTTTGTGGAACCCTAGGATTTTCTAAGTTGTGATGGAATTGAGGTTTTTGACCGATTGTTTTGAGTTTAATTGATTGCTTGGGTTAGTTTAAGTATTTAATCGGTGTAGTTTCCTTGGATTTAAAGAATCTTGAATTTTTGGAGTTAGGGTTTATGGAAATAGGAGGTTTGTGATTGAGGATGACAATGTAGAGGTTGATTCTGAGTTTTGTGATTTGGGTTATGTTAAGGAGGGTTAATTGGATGTTTAATCGGTTTAGATTTGTTGTTGGAACCTTAATTGCTCAAATGGGATGTTGGAGGTTGAATTCCTATAGTGGTCCTTGAGGTTTGAATTTTAATTGATGTTTGAAAAGGAATTAAGGTTTTAATGGATTGGTATGACCTTGGAGTGTTGCCTTGATAGTTTATACCTTTGAGTTGGGTAGAGTCTTGATGGGAGATAGGAATTTTGTGTCCCAAGTGTTGTTTTGGCCACATTATTAGTTGAAAACTAATATATGATGGTTGTGTGTTTGTGTGCTTGTGTAGACCGGTTGTGAGTCGTGGTGGTGCACGGGACCACATTGTCAGTTTGTTATTCCTTGCTCAAGCGAGAGGTAACCACTTTCCAATCCTTAGTACTTGCTTCTGTGGTTTTGTGAGTAGATTTATGTTTTGTGCTCTAAGTAGTAATTATGTTCAACTGTATGTTGTGTATAAAAAGGAAAACCGTCTTGTGTGTTTCGACTAATGATGAATGAATTTTGGAATTGTAAAAGATATGCCACTGAATGAGGTTAATTGTAAAATGATTATTACTCTGTGATTACAATTTGAGCATGATGCATTAATTGGGAATTGGTGAGAGTTTTGTCTGTTACTACCACATGGTAAGGCCTCCATTAATGCATAATGATTGGCTTAGTACGTCCCCCATAGTGAGGGATAGGCCTTTTGGCTCCCTACGTCCCCCAGAGTGAGGGATAGGCCTTTTATGGCTCCTTACGTCCCCCATAGTGAGGGATAGGCCGGCTTCGGCTCCTGAAAATCCCCCAAGTGAGGGATTTGGTTAATGGGATTTGCATCATTTCACTCGCATGATTTATTGTGGCTATCTTGTTATTATATTACTTGTGAACTGCCCCACTTGACACCTCACGAGCACCTATTTAGTAGTACCTAGTATTGGAAAGGTTGGTTACTGAGACTTTGTCTCACCTCGTGGTTTACAATGTTTTCAGGTGAAGGTTCCGGGCGTGGGCCATCGGGAAGAGACGCAGAGGCTTGAGCTTGGTTAGCTTTAGGCCTCTAGCATTTGTATATGTATGACTAGTATATATTGCCACAGTTAGGACTACTTTTTGATATATTTGATTACCCGGCCTTGTTGTAACTGGAGAGAATGTATCTCCTTATTTTGGTTGCCGGAGGCCATTGCTAGTGTTTTATGAACTCTGGATTATTTGGTTGGGAATCATCTAGATGGGCTGATGTGATGTTTGTTGTTACCCGAGCCGGAGGCTCGGAGGCCCAGTAGATGTACATGAATGATTTTCAGTTGCATGCAACGGTTTAAATGTGAACTCAAAATTATGCAAATTTCTTCCTACTATGGTAGTTCATTTAACAGATTTTCCTTTTCTACCATAGTAGTGACTTTGTGATGAGTTCTAACGTTTTTAAGGTAAAGGGTTTTACAGGGATCGCACCCAGCGCTGCCGTCGCTGAACACGCGCCACCCTATCATCACTCTGCACAATGCATTTGTCGTGCACACGTTGAGCAATTGAGCCAAGTTCACCGCATTTGAGCCCGCACTCGCTAGATTGGGCATCAATCTTGCTATCTCTTCCTGCATATGCATATATGCATTCCTTAATTTAGGTAATAAAACTGATGCCAACAAAACTAGGTATTAAAATTGTTATCTATATATCTATATATATATATATATCTATATAAACGTTGTGAGTGCTTTGTGATTGGTCCACGTAGATGCGCAGGTATTGGGCCACGTGGATTGTATTTTGTGGCCTGTGAATATTTAGTTTTGCTTTTATCAGTTTTTTTGGGTGTTTAGGGGTTAAGTTTCGTATCAGAAAGAAGGCCGCCTCTTGGACTTTGGAAGAACACACGTAAGTATACTTCATCATATTATTTATTTTTGCTTTAAAGGTAGGATGAGGTTACAAGCAACGTGAGTTTTCATGTTGTTATTTTACCAATCACGAACCCTTTCAGTAAGCAAGAGAAAACCTTGATATCTTGTGTCTTGACTAGTGTTTAGAGGTTTTTATTTTATTTTATTTTGTTAATCATTTTTTTATCTAATATATTCCAGCATAATAAGGTATTTGAATTGTTTGAAAACATTATGTTCTTTCTTTTCTTTTCTTTTTTTTGATGTGTGTAGGGATTGAGATGTTGAAAAATCATGAGAACACCAGCAAGATCGTGTTTAATGATGATCAACCACTATGGATCTGGAATACTGTGCCAGCCACAAGACGCATCCACCAAACGAAGCTGGACCTTCTTCGTGTGCTTCATGATTATATAATCTTAAAGTTGGGTTTAACTCCGTCATGTAATGGAAAGTTTGTTATGTTACGCCGATACCAATAATAATAGGATTTTTAATTATATTAATGTTATATGTAATGGAAAGTTTAATATGTTATAAGCCGATGCCACTAATAATAGGATTTCGAATTATATTGCCCTTCGATGTTCCTATCATATTCTGCAGTCATTCCAATGGATGCTTTTAGAAGAAAGAAAACTTTCTATTTGATTTTTGCTAATGACCGAAATTGATTTTATTGTGCATAACAATAAATTAGAAGTTGAAGTGCAACTAAAACATGCAAATGCTTATTTTTGTTTATATTTTGAAATCAAAATCATCACCCACGTTTTCATTTCAAATAATGTATTATTACACTTTGATAGCATACCAAGCCTTGAAGTCCAAGAAATACTCATTCAGTTAGAGGCACAACAAGCCCTCTAAAGTGTTCAAGGGATTTATAGCTCAAGACTGCTTACATGGAGAAGGACATGGATCATTCCTTAGATGATGACATGGACACATGCAGAACTTAACATGACATATAGATGTCCACCCTGAAAGCCACCGTGGCATGTGAGTCAT